ATTTAAAAACAAAACCATTCCAGTTTAGACAGAAGTGCCTGGATCACAGAGGATCTACTGGGACTTCACTTTAACTCCATTCAAACAGAATTCATAATAAAGGATTAGTTATAATACATTTTGTGATCAAATTACTCCTCTCTTCACTCAGATCAAAGGTAGTTTTTTCAGACAATAATCTAATTATCAACAGTTTCAAACTGAAAAAATAAACAAATAAATACATGTACAACAAATGTGATCTGAACAGGTTTGAATCACTGACTAGCTCTGGTAGGCTAATCACCTAACTTCCCTATAAGTAAGAAACTCATCAGTTATGCTAATTGGAAAACCATGTCATCCAGTATGTTAGTGATTGATCATGTTATTTATAGGCCTATTTTTGCAGCCTAGGCTTGCAGAATGGACTCTGAGGACGGAGCATGTCTTCCAGGACCATGTGGATCTATTTGCAGCTTGGAGCCAGCAAGGACAATGGAAGTCATTACAGAGCACAAGTATGAACTATTCTGCATTTTTTAACTTTTCTGAGGACCTTCCTCAAAAACGAATTTCAGGAAAAACTTTCGGAGATATTTGTGAATGGGGCCCTTGTTATTATTGAAAGGAATGCTTTGACACGGGTTGTAATATACTGTGTTCATCATTAAGCACACATGGCTGTTTCTAGAAACAAACATGACACCTTCAAATTAGAGAACAAACATTGTAGTAGTACATTGCGATTGGAAAAAAAAAAAAATCATACGTGAACTGACAAAAAGAGAAGCTTGGATCAAATATGACTTGTTTTCTATTTGGAAAAGTTGTTTTTATTTTGGCCAGAAGACTACAGCCAAAACCCAGAAAGCTGCTTACCCAAGCTGTAACAACTCCTTTGTTGAATGATGTTGCAAATTGAGTTACATCTGTGTGCAGTTTAGACAAAAATGTATCTCCGATAAGCCATCTCATAAAAAGTCAAGTTCATACTGTAGATTTAGACAGATAGCATCAGGGTCGTAAACAGAAGTGGTTGGACAAGAATCACCAGACAGCTTTGAAGGAGGCATGCTGGGACAGGACCACAGAGAGTCTGAGCCCCACCTCTATGACACCCTGAAGGAGACAAAACACACACTTGGCTTCAGCTGGCCAGCATACACGTTTCAACCAGCCATCACTATGAAATCTGTTCTGTACATACGTTCAGTATGAATTGTCAGCTGCTATGATTCCTTCACATGTGGTCCTCATCTCCTTGCTAAGCTGACACCAACTGCCTCTGATGGTGGCCTAGTCTTAACTAAAATCTGTAACAGCTCACTACTGCAGCACAAACACCTGATGTGTTGACTCCATACAGATTAAAGAGGTGCACTACACTATGGTGTACTGTTTAGAAAAGAGCTCAACTTTTGAGACATTGCAATGCAATGACCGGCAGGGCTCTGGATTGGCAAATCCTAACTTTTCAGTCTTCAAACAGATCTGTTATTGATCTCTATCAAACTGGACTTGAGTACATTTCACTATCGCAGACTCTTGTGTCTGGCATGTGACCCTGTTTCAAGTCTCACATTTTCATGAACCCAGCAAAAACATGAATTTCATGTGAAAAAAGATCATGTGCAGTTTACTTTTGTGTCCTATTCTCTGTTAACGATACATAAGAGTTCCAAATGACTTCTCTTAAAATACAGTTTTTCTAACCTACGTTGCTTTAAGACCTGGCTAGCAAAACTGTCTTTAAGCAGCTGTAGCGGGCTAGTCTTAAAGAATGAAGATTGGTATCAAGTGAAACTTGACGACCTGATGAATCCATTGGTACCATGTCATGCTAGCTTGTCTAGGACGGGGCTGAATAATGCTCCAGATTTCCGAAGACTTCTCACACTCACTTCAACATATCAGAAGGAAACTGAATTCTATCCGACCCAAAAGTCTCCTCTCTAGACAGGGCCACTTCTACACCACGCTAATCAAATGCAGTTTTGGTGAAAAAAAACATGCAGTTGTTTTCATGCAGTATAAATGTGTTATTTTTGCCTATTCTAAAAATGATTTCTGCATGAACAGACCTGCATACATTTGGTGTGACTAGCAGCCATTTGATTGTAGTGAGACTATTTTTCAAAACTTGATGTTACTGTGTAATGTGTCTAGGATGATCACAGTCATGAAACATTCCAACCACAAACTACAGACCTAGTGCATTCAGGGTTTGTTCTCGGTATATTGACAATAAGGGGATTTCTGAGCAGTTTCCACAGAAGTGCTCACCATCCAACCGACGAAAAACACAAATCTGAAAGAAATCTGCAAATGTGGAAAGTTTTTGAAATTGCAGACCGTCTTTTTCTATGGTGTTCTTCAAGGTCTGGGAGTCTTAATGTGGTATTTTTGAGGTATTTTTGATAATTTTTATGAATTCTCAAGTGGTAAAAAAAATGGTAGGAATTTGCACCAAAGGTGAGTAACTTAGGAGACATGATGGAGCATGGGGAAGGCATCATAGACTTCCATCACACTGTTCTAAGCCCCTTTTTACTTTCACAATTTATTTTATTTTATTATTGCAACAATTATTATATATTATAATTTATTATTCAATTTCATTTCTGCTCTATGACTAGAACAACTTGACACACACTACTTAAGTGCATCTCAAATCGATCTTCAGGTTCCCAGCTTTTCAGATGATGATCCCCTTAAAGACCCCCCCCCCCCCACTCCAAAAGAAAGAGAAAAACAGGTATATGTGGGTCTCTTAGAGTGACACACTCTCATTAATCAGTTTTAAACACAATCTGAAATTCCCAAATTCAAATTTACCGTAACGTAGACAGACCCTTATAGAGAGAGAGAACTGATGGCAGCATGATAATCCACCAATTAACAAACAGCCAACAAAAGAGCAGCAACAAGAGAGCAGAAGAACGAGTAAAGGGGACAACAATATACCAATCTCCTGTTAGAGAAGCATAGTATAAATACCAAGCAATGACTAATCCAAAGATCACATAAACAATTCAAATTGACCAATACGATCAAGCAGGTCACCACAGCGTGACAAGCTGATGGTGTCCTCGCAGTCAAAGTCAGAGTCAACAGCTAAACAAACAGCTCTGTTGCACTGCTCCCAGACCAGCGGGATCTGAAGAGGGCCAAGTTCCACATCAACTGAAAATATGTACAAAACTGTCGCAGTCGGTGATGGGCAACAGATGCAGGCTGTCTGATGAACACCTCAATGTCGGCCAGAGTTTCACAATAGATTAATTACATAGCGGATGTGGTTACCTTAGCTTAGCATTGAGACTGGAAGCACGGCTCTGTCAACCTACCCAGCCCAGTCTCCCTAGAAATAACATCTAGATGATTTGACTCTGACCACGCTGTCTCTATCACTCAGCCTTCAAAACCACTTCAGAAGAAGAACTTTGATTCAAAGGCCTTGTCATAATCTTTTATGTTTACTTTCCTATCTCTATATTTATTTGTTTCCAATATATTTATAGCGTTACTCTTGAAGATAAATTTAGTCTTTTAACTGTGCTGTATTTGCAACATCATCATTACTCATTTTAATATTAGACATTGAAGTTTTTCAATATTAACTCTACAGTAAGATTGGAAAGGAAACAGAGTGTCCAGTCAGTACATTAGCACCTTAATCCTTAATCCTTGGCAAACTGTCAAAGTGTATATTTGCTTAGTCTATCTCCACTCAAGGTGTGTGTATGTGTGTGTGTGTGTGTGTGTGTGTGTGTGTGTGTGTGTGTGTGTGTGTGTGTGTACACACACAGTGGGTACATGCCCTGGACTTTGCACCAGAGCTTGTACTGGGCATGCAAAGAAAGAGAACAACAGAAAGGACTAAATGTTCTGAAAAGTGAATAAAACTGATAACGACAAACAGTGAGTGCAGGAAGAGAAGAGGCACAGGGAGAGGAGGAGATAGAAGAGAGAGATGGAGACAGAGAGCTGTCACTGTGTGTGTGTGTTACATGCTGATGCTGAAGGGGAAACAAGGCTAACTTTCCAACTTATATAAAGCTTTACTCAGCAGTTTCAGATCCAGCTAACCTACATTACATCCTCATCGTCTCATCTTTATTCAGCTCTGACTAACTGCTCTGTTAGCTGGTATGCTGTTGCTCCTCTGGAGCTGTTTGTCCCCAACTGTCAGAGCTGCGGATGTGATTCCTGAGGATCTGAGGAAACACAGCCTTGATCTGTTTGTTAGGAAGAGCAATTATACAATGAATATGTTTTTGGTCCTTGATTGTCATTGCCTCCCACCAAACATAAACCTTGCAGAGAAGTCCCACTGTGCCTTTAGACTACAAGTATGTTTTTTACACTGGGACATGGTCTTGTAGGTGCTGTCCATCTTGGACATCACGGATATGATGCTACTAAATTGGTTGTCAATGGAAGGCATGATAAAAACCTCCATCAGTCAAACTGTTGATGATGACTGTTTACTCAAGCAGCTTGTTGTCCACTTCTTCCAAACAACTCAACTTCGTTAGAGCTCAAAAATAGGCAAAGAGAGACTGAATGTTCGATCCACACCAATAACCAATATGTTGAACCTTACAGGGTTTCCAATGTAAGGGGACGGTTCTGGTTCTGATCAAACATTAAAACCCGACTAATGGAGGTCCACATTTAATGTAGCCTCCCCAACTGAACATGAAACCATCAGTCCTTCACTCTGATGGGACTGAGAGACTCTAGTTCCCATGGGGCTCTTCAACTGTCATAAACAACATCATGTGACTCAGGCATGAAGCCAGTCAGCTTCTATCAATCAACAAAAACCAAACCAACACCCTTAACTAAGCCACAGCGATGGAATCAAGGAACAAGTTCAAACATCAGTAAATCCTGCTTTTGCAATGAGTATTAATATTGCACAAAGAGCAGTTTTCAATGGTTGCAGCAATGGTTCTTTAACCAACACATAGACCTCCCAGTACCCTGTGTCTCTGCACCAGGATGTTACTGACCTTAAAGGCAAACTTGCGGGTGATGTTATCCGAAGGCTCCACTCCTTTGATCCGGAAACTAAGCAATGGCAAACTTCCTAGCACCGTGTCCTCCTTCTCATCTGTGAGGAGAAAAATGAATGTGTGAAAACCTCCTCGAGAAGAATCAGAGAAACAGAATCCATGATCCAGGGCATGGCTACAACTACTGCATGAGAGAAACAACAATTACAGCCTGAGCGAGTTCATTCAACCTGCAGGATAAAAGACAACAACACAGAGGAGTGTTCAGAGCCCAAACATGAGAGTGGAATCCAAGCTGCTCTCCTCCCAGCACACTCTCTGCTCCCACGGTGACAGCGTCCTAGAATAGATATCCATTATGGTCCGAGGGTCCCTGTGATAAGCAGCGGTAATGGCTCACACACACACACACACCGGGATACAGCGGTGATAAATAGAAGGTCTGTAGAAGGAGAGCACCGGTGCTGACTAAATAATGGAAGGAGGCATACAAATTTCAGCAGTTTGAAAAGGAATACACTCCTCTCTCTGTGACCTCCTACCTCTTATTTCCCGAATGTAGCACTGCAACGACACTCTCTCTACTGAGTGTGAGTGTTTATGTGTGGGTGTGTGACAGAGAGAGAGAGAGACAGAGAGGTCTGGGGGAGGGGGAAGTGCTTGTGCAATCATACAATACCCTGATCCCTGCTCTGTGTGAATGTGTGTGTGTGTGTGTGTGTGTGTGTGCGCGTGTGTGAGAGAGAGAGTGTGTGTGTGTTGTGTGTTTGCGCAAGATAATGATCAGCCCATGTGACTCAGTGTTGCAGGAATCCCCCAGCCCCCAGCCAACTGTACCTGCTGCTCGTCTGCGCCAATGACACACACACACACACACACACACACACACACACACACACACACACGCACACACACACACACACACTTAAAGGGACAGCAGGTAAATAGAAACACTTCTGCCTCTCTCCTGTTCATGTCTACCACTCACATTTGAATGATTTATTGATTTCTGTATTTATAGACTGAAACCATGAACATGCATTCAGTATCCCCTGTGATGATGATACAAAGTGACAAGATGGGGAAAAAACACGTAATAATGACGCTAGGAGTATTTTCACAGGGGAAATTATATAAATCATATTTTTCTTACTTACTAAGAGTGAGTATCTATCCATGCAGATGCGTTTGGTTGTATTGGTCCAGCTTTGATATATCTGCCACCAACCCAATACAATGGAGGAGATTGGAATGCCATTTGAGGTACTCACAGTATTAAGACATGACAGTAACACTTGATTTTAACAGCTGCATTAAGCCATTAAAAGCTGTATGTAAACAATTAATACATGTTTTTAACATAATTTTTTGTGTTTATTGATAAAAAGTCAACAACTATAACTGCTACTGTGAAGCATTTGTTATTGCTATATAGACTGAAGATAAAGATAATGTGTGACATTTATTATTTTAAGTATTTTTGTCATGAGTCCTTCTTGATCTCTCACTCTCATTCATTCTGCCTGGTTTCCGTGACACTAACTCTCTTTTAATTTCAGGCCTAGCGGATGAGAGAGAGCCCTGACAACTAGGCAAAAGGACCCATCATCGTTTTGTTTTTACTCGTTGGTTCCTTTTTCGAATGCACCTAAACCGGTAGAGCCTAAGCAACTTGCCAGCACCAGGCTCACCACAGCAGAACAACAGCGCCGTCTGCAGGGGAACTGCTGCAATTTGCGACCAGAGTAGCAAACCTTTCGAGTAAAAGGAGAGGCTCACCTGTCACTCTCCAAAAGGCAATTTCACCCCGTGCTCCATGCCCATGTTGGAACTACAGACATTTCTAACCTACCACCTGGCACCCATTCAGCAGGAGTCCCTTCCCCTACCCATAAACACAAGTGCTCTCGATTGACCACTCTGATATTCTGATACAGAACATTGGGGCATGTTGTGTAATCACCACAAATCTCTAACATTCATAATCCACATATTGACTGGTGCACAGGCTCCATTTTTCAATGGAACAGCCACTGCCATAGCCTTCTGACCAGAAGCTTCATACCTGTACCTTTTTCTCATGCAAGCTCACTCCAAAGGAACACAACAATGACATGGCATTGGTTGGGTTAGGGTCTTATAGTCAACCAAGTAAAAAATAAACAAACAAATAAATGGATGAATGTATAATAAAAAAAATGCCATGTTTACTTCTGGTTTCACACGGGACACAGGCCCTGATCCTGGGCTGGAAGTCCTTGTAGTGGCAAAAACTCCTAAAGTTGGGTTTTTCCTTAAATGCGGCTCCTACAGTCCTACAGTATGCTCAGAAGTTATCCATAGCAGCGCAGCTCATGAAGTCTGTAAGAAGGATCATGCCGTCCACATTCAAGCAAAGTGCCCTGGTCATTACTGACCTCATCACAAACCACAATAAGCGTGCTCAGTTGCCATACTAGCAACTCTTCCATGGTGTACCGGTGTATTCTTGCGGCTCGTCTCGATCAGTGGGCTTTTGAAGGATATCACAGTCAGTGCTTCTCAGACTCTGGCCTCCCTCTACTCCAGATTTGATATAATCTGCATCGTGTGAGTTGCCTCCCCGGAAGCTTTCATGTCTGGGGCAAGCAACGGAAACACAAACGGCTCACATTCATGAGTAATCATTTGTCAGAATTTCTCAATGCAAGCATTCCTTTTCACGATTTATGCGAAAGCATGACGCAGTTAGCTGCCACACAAATCATCGTAAGCTTTCACATGGTAGTAAAAGTGCTATCGCATATGCATATAACTGCTGGTGGAGTTTTTGCTTCGCAGCTACGTCGCTGCTCACTGTTCTCCTCAATAACATGTTTTTCCGGTCATAGCTGACCTCGACATTACATTCACGTCTTTTTGGTCACAATCATTTCGATCTTTAAAGATTTTTTTAATTTTATACTGTCTGCCTGTCTGTCTGGATGTCTGTCTGTTGTCAGATTTCTCACAGTAAAAGTGTCACAATATTCAGTCACAAATCTTTTCAGGTATATTGTAGGATCACAAAAAAAAACTGGGGCACCCAGATCGCTCACATGGTAGAGCACCCCATGCACCAAGGCTGAGTCTCCTACCTCAGCAGCTCTGGTTCAAATTGAATCAGGGCCCTTGGCTGAATGTCATCCCCTCTTTCTCTCCTCTTCCCTCCCTCAAAGATGTGTGCAGTCCGAGCACGGCCGTCAGGAGTAGGTGGGTAAGAAGTGGGGAGTGGGTCATTAGCCCAGCCTACTTTACACCTCGGCCTGATTTGGCATGATTCCATCACAAGATGGCCTCCTGTTGATGTATTCTACTTATTCATTAATTTGTTATTCATTGCGTTCTTCTAGATACCTACTATTTATAGCTTTCTGCCAATTCCTCCTATCTGTCGTACTCTGGTAAGTGGGTCACTGTCAATGTATCATGGTCTAACACAACCTCCTACACTGCATCATGGTCTAATGTGTCCAACAGGACAACTTCTGGGTCTCACAGTAGAAGAGGTTTAATCTCAGTATGTCTTCTTAGTTAAATAAAGGTTATCTACATATATTGCATTTAGACCTATCATAACCCCAGTCATTGCATCATAGTCCTTGTGAACTCACATGCTGGTAACTTTATTATGTCATGTGGTATCGCATTCAATGCAGCAGCACAGGGGATCTGTTAGCGCAATTACTTACGTTGCAGCAGCAGCATTGAACATCTGTTAGTGGAATCACATACGTTGCAGCACTGGGTGATTCGTTAAAATTAATTTCATTTATTGCAGCAGCAGCATCGTGAGGCAATCTCATGTAAGGTCCGTATAGAGTTCCGTCTTGACCTGCTCTATACAATAAGTATAGATATATTGATTGTTCAGGCTCTGCCCATACTTCTTTCAAGTGTGCCTACCTCGTAAGTCATGATTTAACTGATGTTGGAGTTTTTGAGATTGCTATTATTTTCATTTTGTTGCCTGCTATCATAATCCACTATTATTGCATCGTTAAGCTTTTTTTTAAAATTCTTCCGTAATCATGCCTGCCCACATTCTTGATACATGCATATAACTGGTGGTGGCGTGTTGACTTAATGGCTGTTTTGCTGCTCACTGTTTCCTCTTATCCATTATTTCCAGTCAAAGATAACTCGATTAATATATGATTCAGCTAATCACTAATATTCATGTATTCAGCTAATTCTTTACATCCAGGTATTCTATTACTCAGTGGTGGGCCGTCAGGGCCTGCAAGGCCTTCTCTGCTGGCCTAAACAGAATCACAAAGGTATAGCTATTTTATAATTTAATAATTTTTCTTAAATACACTACATGTATTATAATTTATAAAAATATTTTTCCCATTATCTTATGTTCTCATTGCACAGCTACTGTCTTCCTCAGTTGCTCTGCTTCCAGTGCAGCTTGTTTTAAGTAGAGCTTTTATCCAATCAGATTTCACCTCTGTGTCTCTAGGTAAGAAGAGAGGCAGAGGCCTGCAGACTCACAAGTGAATCCATGTGCAGTTTAAGTGAATGGGGACGATATTGTTGATTGTCATAGTCTTCAACCAATCAGATCTTTAGTTTGACATGTTGGGCGTATTCTTTGATGTGCCAGAGCCTGTTAGCTGGCCTAGCCATACATGATTGGTCGGTGGGCTAGCCTGACATGTTGGGCGGTGACAATCCCAAAATCTGCTGCCTCTGTCGAGCGGACATTTTCAGCCTCAAACGCATTAAAACGTATTCAAGAAATACAACTGGGGAGGCTCGACTGTCTTCACTGGCGTCCATGAATGGAGGACTTCTTACTGGAACTAAAACGCACGGATGTACTGAACAACCGTCAGATTAAACTCTTTATTAACAAAGAAAGGAGGACAATGTTGTCATTGTCAAGTCTGAGCCTCTGCAAGTCATCTAGATTAACTATGCCATGGATGAAGATGGAAGGGATGCCACATATCCGGGCATGGATCATACAGCAACCGCAGTATTAAAAAGTAATGTTAATTTGTTTATATGCCTTTCTACCTCTCCTTAGCAAGCTAACTGTTGGAGCCATAATGTGGTTTTGTTGTTTTCTTTTGTTTTTGAGGGTAACACAAGGTGAATTTATATATGCAGTTCGGACATTGAACACAGGGTGGCACATTGGCAGAAAGGGCATATAGGTAAGTGCCTGGTGATGAGAATCAGGTGTGTGTGGACGGGAAGCTAACAGTTTTTGACCGTGTCAAGGTGTAGTGTCAATGTGGCGTGTCAGCCAGCGTGTCAGTTTGGAGTTTCAAGGTGTTATATTATCCTGTCAAGTATCCTGTATTCTGTTATGGTGTTAATGTGCAAACGGAATAAATGGATCAACAGAGCGAAAGAAAGAGCGCATTGGACAGTGAAATGTTTGTGCAACACACGTCTGAACAAGTTCTCCCGTTCACACCCCAGTGGCTTTAAGATATAAAATGGATATTTGTTAAAGTCATTACACTAACATTTATTTGATTTTTAGCTAACTAGTTACCTTAGCTAGTTAATGTTGACTGTAAGCAGTTAACTGCAGGAACGGCCATTCGTTTGAAAACATCTAACTTTGGTTGATAGTGCTTTATTGCCAGAAACAGTGTTAGTGCTAATGAGCCTTTAATTACTGACAGTCAATTATTTAGCTTCGTGTCTTTGGCGCCCTTTCTGTTGTTGATGCAACTATCATTTTCAAAATATCTTTTGGTTTAACTAATGTTTACCTCAACATTGATGATATAGGCCTACTGATAGTCTCATTTTGTTTGCTAACGGCATGGTACATTAAAAATAATTCCTGCATTAACTGAGAAGGGCAGGCAAACAGTATACTAACGTCTCATAACCTCTACAGTAGATGCTGCCCTCTGGCTTGTAAGGTGCGTCTCTACTGCCGTCATCTTGCAGCAGGTTCTGACCCATTCAAATAGAAGAAAATGTGACTTTTGTACTGCTTTTGGATGTCATAACGAAAGAAATTCCAAAACCAAGCAGCAGGGATCAGCATTTCACAGGCGACAAGTTGTTTTACAATATTTTACTGTGATGAACGTGTTGAATTTGATATCAAAATAAATTATCCTTATTTTAACCTTTCATAACGTTAAGTGACTGTCCTGAAACCAAGTTAAACTATCGTTGTCAGGGAAAGATTAAAAGATTAACATTTTTATTGTAGGGATGCTGAAAATTAATCACTTTTTATCGTCTACATGTATGAGATTAGAGATATTTGTATTGTCTCTCCTATAAACATGCAGCCCTAAGTCACTTCCATGGTGCTTTTAATTTCACTTGTAGAAAACTAAGATAACTGTTACTCTGCACAACCCTGCTGATATACTGAATATACACGATATATACGATTGTGAAAATATCAACCTGACACTTTACATCTAAAAAACTATATATTGCTAATTACTTAAGTATTTACCATGTGATTAAATGTGTTTTTCAGCTGCTAATACAAGCGCAGACATGCTGCCCAGCCTCTCTAAGGAAGACTTGCGTGATCTCTTTCCTGGGCCAGAGCACTTCTTCAGAAGGAGAACCATTTTTTGTTTTAATTGGAATGTAGATTTTAATATTTCTTTTCTATCTCTTTGTCTGTCAGCTAATTGATGAACTTCAGCAGATCCTCCATGGAGGGAACTCCCACTTCATACCTGAACTGAAGACCCACTGGGGGACCTTTTTTGAGAAGGCACAGTTTTATGGTGTTTTCAAAAAGGTCATGAGGCCTCTGCTGCTGGACAAAGGTAGTTAATTAAACACTCTGACCATGGAGAATTCCTTAAAAATATTGATTTTTGTTTAAATAACTGGCTGCAGTAAATCAAATGAGACTGTTTTTGTTTTTAACAGTAAAGCACAAAATTGACATGATGAAGGCTTTGTCAGACCAATCACCCGTGGCTCCATCCAAGAGGGTATGACATGCAAGTGAGGCTGTGCTTCACATCTTTGAGATAAGAGATTTGTGCATGTATGAGAATTTTCACACTATGTCACCATAAGATACAAAGAGTGAATTGTTTTTAATGGTCATATTTGTTTTATCTTTTTGTGTTTGTGCCAGTCTGCAGAAGACCCCAACACCTTTCTTCAGGCGAGACCACTCTTCAGCCCTGTCGTGATTGTCTGCGAAACCAACTGCATACTGGCCATTGGAACCATGCCTGTGCTTACCTTTCCAAAAGAGGACATCTATGCCAGCGTGATACATCTCATGGCATGTTATTACACCTTTCACTTTACATATCCTACTTTTTTTTTTACTTCCCTTCCTCTGCATTTTAGAGGTAAATGTTGTACTTTTTATTCCTTTACATTTATCTGATGACTGGACTTTGCCGTTTTTCCAGGTCTCACATTTGAATAATACCACAGTCTCCAAGAAATATGACATTGCTGTGTCTTAACCCTTGAAAAAAAAAAGAAAAGGGGTGTTTGTTGGTTATGCAGCTTAAAAACAATAAAGAAGTGAAAATAAATGCATTGAGATTCATGTCTTTCTTTAAGCAAGCCTATCACATTTCTAGTAGTAGTTATATTACATTTATCGTCACGATTACTGATTTTAATATGGTATTTTTCTCTGTAAATTCCAGGGTATTTAACTTTATTTCAAGAATATTGCAACAGCATTGGATGCTACATTTAAGCAAATGTTCCTACATATTGAGAAAATAATTCTTAAATATTTTCTTTGTATCAAGACAAATGTACTTGTCTGGCCACATTAGTTTTAAGATATATTTGGGTTCTTCGAGATATTTTTACTTGTTTTAAGGAATCTTGGCAAGTCAAATTTTCCTGTTCTGTTGGCAGATCATTTTGCTTATTTTAAGTAATAGATCCCTCATTTTATTACTTTTTTTTCTTGTTTTTGAAAGCTGAATTTTTGCAGTGTATACATTGCAAGCAGGGCATTGCTGTCCTCAAGCCATTGCTGGCTAAGATCAAAAAAGTCAATCTCACAAATGCTCTTGTCAGTGCGACCTAGTCATTACAGTGCTTTTGTTTACGTTTACTCATTCATTGTAAATCCCTGATTCTAATCACTTAACCTCAAATTTCTGTCATGCTCCTTGTTATGCCTCATCTCTGAGCAGCTTATGCCATCATCGATCATTTGTGACCCGTTTCATTCCCGCTTGGTAAGTAAACATTCATTCTTTTGGGGGAAATATTAGGCTGTGGTTTATTTTTCCTTTTGAGGGATTTGTCTTGCTGCTGCTCAGGGCAGACGCCCCTCCATTACAAATCTCCCTGTAGAATCCAAGCACCAAAGACTCTGTCAAGACTCTATCATCACATATCATCTGTTAATAATAAACAATTATCTTTTCTTTATCTGACTTGTCTCTCCTGATTGAACTTCCTCTCTACACAGACTCCTCTCACTTTTTATACTACCTCACCTGACTCTCTGGCTTTCTCCCATGTTCAATCAAAGGCCTCTTGGACAAAGGCTTTTGGATCTTTTAAACACCACAGTTTCAAAATTCTTATTCAGGAATTTGATTTCCGCATTGGTACATAAATGGCATGAAGTGTTATGTTTAAAAAAGGGTGTCCAGCCCTGGTGGGAAAAAAATGCACCCGCCTTTCATAGCAATAACATAATCAATATTTCTAGGTTGTTAGAGAAGGTCCGACTGGGCTATCATGGATGGGGAAACTGCGTCAACATTGGCTGCAATTCTTGGCATCCTGGACCCTTTTATCATTAAAACGTCTGTGGGTTTTGAAGGGGATAGTTACGGCTGTGGTCACAGCCCTGGCCTCCATCTTACTAAAGATTTCATCTCATGTACATTTCTCAAAATACCTGATCACTGAAGATGCTTTTCTGGGGCAGCATTGGAAACACAATCACAACTGTCATATGTATCAATCTGTCGACCCATTCATAGTGACCTTGCCATGAAATTAACGTTATTATTGTCATATTAACTCATTCTGATTTTGTCAGAATTTTATCATTTAAGTTATATCAGATGTTGCCAAATCTTGATTTAAAATCTTTTTTTAATTGCTCATATTCATTGCATTCCGGAAAGGGAAAACCTGAGCGCAGCGTAAAACAGTGACTCCCTCTTTCCCCCACTGTCAAGAATGACCAGTGCTGCTGTAATACAGTCCACAATATTGATTTATTCAGATAGGTGGGGTAGAAATAAGTGTCTAAAACCCTGTATCACCGACCGAAAAGGCAGTGCTCTACGGTCTGGTTAGGAGCCAGGGAGAAGTCTTATCTCTTGGATTCT